TTGGAACAAATCATTGTAAGACGTGTATGACTCAATCCCTTGGTAAACATATCTGCAAGCTGATCTTTAGATTTTACAAATGGAGTTATAATCTCCCCAGCTACTATCTTGTCCCGAATAAAGTGACAATCAACCTCAATATGTTTGGTTCTCTTATGAAACACCGAATTGGCAGCGATATAGATAGTTGTCTGGTTGTCATAGAACAACTGTAAAGGAAGTTGAACTGAAAACCCAATTTTCTTAAGGAAATGTAATAGCTAAGTCAACTCACTCGTCGTGTGCGCCGTTGTCCTATACTCAGCCTCAGCACTGGATTTTGCTACCACGGATTGTTTTTTACTTTTCTATGAGACAACATTACCTCCTAAGAATGTACAATAACCAGTGGTTGATCTCCGATCAGAAGGAGAGTCAACCCAATCAGCATCTGAGAAACCTTCCACTCTAAGATGTCCATTCGCTCGATATAACAGTCCAAGTCCAAGGGCACATTTGAGATATCGCAGAATATGAGTAACTACCTCCCAATGTGGTACTCTAGGACACCCCATGAACTGAATTACTATACTGACTGCATGTGAAATATCTGGTCGAGTAATAGTGAGATAATTGAGCTTCTCAACCAACCTACGATACCGACCCGAATTCTCAATAATGCACCATCATTCATCAAAAGTTTCTGATTCGAATCTATAGGAACATCAATAGGTCTACCACCAAGCAAACCTACTTCCTCCAGCATGTCAAGTACATATTTTCTCTAAGATAAACAAATACCCTATTTAGATCGAGTCACCTCAATATCCAAGAAATACCTGGGTTTTTCCAAATCCTTAGTATGAAATTGACCTTGTAAGAATATTTTTAACTTGGCAATCCCCTCAGAATCATTTTTAGTAATCACAATATCATCTACATAGACTACCAAAAAATCAGAATCATTTCCAGTAATCACAATATCATCTACATAGACCATCAAAAGAACATATCTAGCATCTGTCTATCTATGAAACACAGAATAATCTGTCTGATATCGAAGAAGACCAAACTCTAAAACTATATCTAAAAACTTACCAAACCATGCCCTCGATGACTGCTTCAAACCATACAAAGATTTCTTCAACCGACATACACTCTTACCATACTCCCTCTGACCAGTAAACCTAGGTAGTTATTCCATGTATACCTCTTCAACCAAGTCTCCATGTAGGAAGACATTCTTGACATATAACTATAACAAGAGCCAATCAAGATTAGCAGCCAAAGAAATCAGGATACGAACAGAGGAAATTTTGGCAACGGGAAAAAAAGTCTCCTCATAATCAACACCATAAGTCTGAGTAAAACCCTTTGCAACAAGCCGGGCTTTGAGACGCTCCACAAAACCATCCGGATGAAATTTAACAATATACATCCAACGACAACCAACAGTTCGTTTACCAGGAGATAAAGGAACAAGATCCCAAGTCCTATTATGATGTAAGACATCCATCTCCTCCTCCATAACTTTCCTCCAACCCGGATCAGATAAGGCATCCTGTAAATGCTTAGGAATAGATATAGTAGATAATTGAGAGGTAAAACAAAAGAAGGCAGCAAACAAGGTATCATATGAAACAATATGAGCAATGAGGTGGTTAGTAACATATGAACAATTACCTTTTCGAAGAGTAATAGGTAAAGAACCATGAAGGTGGCAAGGAAGACAATACGGGCACTTCAGTTGATGGGCAAGGACGACGAGTGCATACACGAAGAGGTAAAGTAGGTGGCAACACAATGGACAGCGGAATATCTGAAGATAATGGTACAAGAGATGACCCCAAGTCTAGATCCAAAGGCTAAGTAGGTGCTGAAAAATATGGAACAGATTCTTCAAATGTGACGTCAGCACTATTAAAGTATTGTCGCAGAGAAGGACTGTAGCAACGATATCCTTTCTGCGTGCGGGAGTAACCAAGAAATACACATTTGGTAGCTTGAGGGTCAAGTTTATCAAATTTAGGACCCAAATTGTGAACATAACAAAAACATCCAAAAACTTTAGGAGTTAAGGAAAATAAGACCTTACTAGGAAAAAGGGCAAAATATGGACTTTGTCCATTTAACACAGAGGATGACATACGATTAATAAGGTGACAGGCAGTAAGAACAACATCACTCCAAAAATATCAGGAAATATTCATCTAGAATAACAGGGTACAGGTGACTTCCAACAAATGACGGTTCTTGCGTTCAACAAAACCAGTTTGTGGGAAGGTGTAAACACAAGAAGTCTGATGAATAATACCAGTTTTACTAAGATAAGTTGAAAAAGGATCAGATTCATATTTTCGAGCATTATTAGAATGTAAGATACGTATACAACAACCATATTGAGTTTTTATTTCCTTTCGAAATGTCTCAAATATAGAGAATAATTCAGACCGAGCTTTCATCAGAAACAACCAAGTCACACGAGAATAGTCATCTACAAATGTCATAAAATAAGGATATTTATTAGATGAAATATTCTTTACTGGACCCCATACATCAGAATGTACTAACTCAAATGGACTAGACACACAATTGTGAAATCTAGACTGAAATGACACACGATGATGCTTACTAAGTTGACCAGCTTCACAAGACAAACACGACACATAACTAAGACTGGAAACTTGGCGCTTCAGATTCTAGAGAGAGGGATATCCGAGATGACAATGCCATTGAAAAGGAGATGACGAGGTTTGTAGAGCTCGGGTAGGTGAATCAAAGTCAAGGTAATATAGACCACCAGCTTTATGTCCTGTACCAATCTTCCTTTTCGTCTTGAGATCATGAAAGACACAATAAGAGGGATAAAATGTTACAGAACAATTGAGAGAACGGGTAATCTTGCTAATGAAAATTAAACTAAAAGGAAACTGAGGAACTAATAACAAAAGATAGAGACATATCAGAACTCAAGTGAATAGTTCCCAGACCTGAAACTTTAGAACAAGTGTCATTAGCAAGAGTAACACTACGTGTGGAAGTAGCAGACTGATAAGTAGAAAAAACATCAGACGTACCAATCATGTGGTCAGAAGCGCCAAAGTCTATGATCCAAAGACTGCAAGTGGAGGCCAATAAACAAGTGAAAGCATTACCTGACTGGGCAAAAGTAGTAGTGGAGGGAGATGGGACAGCCTGTTACTGGGACAAGAACTGAGGATACTCTTTTCGTGTGATAGTAACCAATCCGGTGTCTTGTTTGGGTTCCATAAGTGCAGCAAATAGGAAAAGAAAATCACTAGATCACTGAACCAGACAAGAATCACCTCCTGCACTGCTGAACCAGACCAAAGAAGTCAACGGAACTACTGAACTGGACCAAAGGAGTCCACTGAACCGTTGAACCGAACCAAAGGAGTTCATTAGACTGCTAAACCGGACCAGAAAGTCCACTGGACCACTGAACCAGAGACAAAACTGATTGAACCGGGCTTGACGGGTCTAAAACTGACTGAACCAAGCCTAAAACTTGATGAACCGTGTTGAACCAAGCAGGAAAACTGGACTGGACCCCTGAACCGGGCTGGCTAGACTTACTGGAAGTCAGAACTGGGTTGAAAAACTGGGCTGGACCACTGAACCGGACTGCCTGGAGCTTCTGGACCGCTGAACCGGTATGAATCGGTTTGAAGATGAACCGGCTGGAGCTGGACTTAAAATAATTTAAGACTTGGGCTGGGCCTGATCTGAGTGGGCTGGACCTCCTATTTTTAAAGAATTTTAAACCCATTAGAGTCAGGTCTGGTATCCAAACCCGTGGAAAATAGGTCCAAATCAGTTCTTCTTCTTCTTTGCTGATTAGGGTTTCAGTAAACCCTACTCTCTGACTACGCCTCGCCACCACGACAAACAACGGCCTACCACAACAGCAACACCACTACGACGAATACCAAACGACGACGAGAAGACCACCACAGTACCACGATGGCTTCGACGACACTACCACCACATCCGACAATACCACGATGACTTCGACTATGGCTTTTACCAACAATACCACCACCACCACAACAACAATACCTCTGCCACAACAGTATCATCACCACCACCACAATGGAGATCACTACCACTAGGGACAACACCACCACAACAGTACCACAACCACCACGATGCTTTGACAAACACCACCACAAACAAGGTAATTTTCACAACAACACACTAATATTTGTATTTAGGATCATATTGCTCTGATACCATGTTAAGTTTGAAGGATTAACTATAATATTAGAGACAATATTTAGAGAGAAACAAAGAGAGATTAAAACTTAACCTAGCTCTCATACATCACTTGTATTTATAGTTAACTTACAATAATAAGAATTACACATAGAGCCTCTTACAATTAACAATTTACACATACTATCCTAATATTCTTAACAGTTTCCATCCAATCATACTTTTCTTTCCTCCTTATCTTTTGTGTCAATTTCTCAGGGTTAGAAAGAGGTTCTCATTGAGCACTTAGATTGAAGCTTTGGTAAAGGAAATAAAATGTCCATTTTGGTCCATTTGGCACAAATGAAATAGAAGAGCTTAAGGGGTTGGAGATATTGGTGATAAAGGTGAAGGGCCTTTTTTTCGGGTTTATATGCTTCTTTGATCTTCTAGGAGATATGTTTTAGTTGGGGATGCATCAGGTGTTTTTCTCATATACTTTTCATTTACAATGGTTGGCCCCTGATCTTCTAGGAGATATGTTTTAGTTGTGGATGCATAAGGTGTTTTTCTCATATACTTTTCACGTACAATGGTTGGCCCCTCTCCCCTCCCTTCGTGCGCCCTTTAATGCTTCTCCAAAAAAGAATAGAAGAAAGAAAACTTCTAAAAAAGTCTTCCCTTGACAACTAGTATAACTATAAGAATTATGGTGGACAAAAAGTAAAAACTTTATTTCTTTAACAAAAAAGTGTATATTGTTCTTTGACATTTGTCAGTTGGATAATTACTAGAATTTCTTTGAATCAAGCAAAACTAAAAACACTTGCGCTCATGTACATGTCCTTGCTTATAAAGGCAATAAAGAAGAGAAGACAAACCTTAGGCTTGGACAAAATAAGCACATCACGATGAATCCCAGATAACCTCCAATGATCTTGATCTTCCAGATAAGAACCATCACTCCATCTAAATACTTGAACAGCTAGAATATTTTTCTTATCAGACCCATATGGATGACAGAAATCAGTGATTTCAAATTCAGCAGGCAATCTACTATCCTGACTGATCTAACACAAGAAAGGAATCTTGTTAGCATATACATCTGAGGATTTTATCAAACTTTTTAGATTTTAAGGAATACTCATCCATGTTATAAATACTTTAATGCAGCAATAACATAGTATGGTCGACTGCTTATTTGAATATGAACTCGTAAAGTTCACATAGCATCTTTTTTACCTGAAATAAATGGATCTACAGGATGACACTCTGCAATGTCAACCATTCAAGATGGCTTTCTAGTCTTGATTTTCACTAAAAAAAACTCACTAACATAGAGCTTCATGGTACATGTCAATTCTTTGTACCTCTGTATTTATTTTAAATAAGATAAATTGATGGATTATGAATAAATTTGTAGGTTTACAATGCCGTCCATTGGGCTTCATCTTCTCCAACAAAACAGAGGGAACCATTTTCTATTTGGTGGTTTATATTGCCCGATCTATTCACCACATGATTGACACCTATATATACACACCACAGCTTGAGGGTGTCTGAGAACAAGCCAGTACATACTATTAGCAGTGGTGGAGCACATGAGGACTAGGTGTGGCATAGGCCCACCCTGAAATATTTTTAAAAAAATATTAATTATATATATTTAAATTATTATATTTATACTTAAGTATGTCCACTCTATTATTTTTTGTTCTATAAATTAGTATAATCATATAATAAAATAATTATGAACTTTTGGACACACTTTGAATACTTTAAGGATACATTTAGATAAATCGTTGACATGTCAGACTCATTTTTAAAGTTATAGATATCATGAAAACTAGGTTAAATAACTTAATCAGTGAGCAATGGCTAATAGCTTGATTTGTTATATAGAGAAAGACTATAGTATTTTTTATGCAATTACTCTCATTTGTTATGAGGGGTTGTAATTAGCTTATTTTTTTGTTTTTTATTTGAGTATGCTATAATTATCGACATTTGATAATTTTTGTATTTTATGAATCTTTAAATATTAAATACAATGTCGTAAATTTAAATACATTATTTTACTTTGATTGATTAGGAGAAAAAAATTTAAAATCTCTAAGTACAGTGTCCACCCTAGACAGAATTTCTGGTTCCGCCACTGCGTATTAGAATGAAGTGTCATAGCATTTAAGAAATATTGGCAGTTTCTTTTTTCACACTCACGAAGTTATGAAGTCTGGGGGAGGGAGGAGAAAAAGTAAGTCTATTCTCTTTCTAACATCAATTTTTTCTCTTTTAATTTTCTTGCTCAAGTGTTTTCAGCTTACGACTTTTTTTTTTCTCTAAACCACTTAATATCTTCCTTGATAACAACTTAAATTGCCACTGAAACAGCTAAGGTTCATAATGAAGTAAAGAAACCAAGATAAACTGTAATCTAACATCTAGCACATCAAAGGCAACATGTTGGAGGGTTTATGATAGCAATTCCCAAAGAGGTACATAACACCTTGCATCACAGACCTATATCCAACAGGAATCCCATTTATCCAAGCATGGAAGGCAGAATCAACCGCTTCAAAGTGTAAAAGTGTCCTACGACCTGTCAAATGCCAATAGACATGTTGCGTAAGTAAACAGAGACCCAAGAAGAGGCAATAAGATAGAAAATGTAAGAGAACTAATCAATACCAATTCATGAAACAAATAAAACAATAAGGGCCTCCCAAATGTCACAAACCCGTGCAGTATCTCCAATTGTTCTATTGTTCTTTATATATAAACTTCGATGCTAGGTGCAACTACATGTGTACACAAATATGCAAGTGTGTATATGTGTGCGTAACAGAAACCAGAGTCAAAATGCTAACTAAAACAACATAAAGTATTAGTAGCTCTTACATACATCTATTTTTTAATTTTTTTTTATTTACGAAAATATATCACGGTCAAAGATCTTTGAGAAATAAGTGAGCCCTACAATAATTACCTACTTATAAATAAGTTCTAATGCATATACGTACAGATACTCGATAATATTATGGTTCACAACATAAATTTCATAAATCTATGTTTTGATCCAAATAAATTGAAGTCAATAATTTACAAGGTACATTTCTCAACAGAAATTAGATTTCTGTACTAAGAATAGGTGTGTAAACTCCTTATTAAGTTATTATTATACATAGCAACTAACTGGGGGTTTTCTAGCAAAACTTCTCCAAGAAGGTCAATCAGTTTTTCCAAATGAGGTATTGCACGGCAAACACTCCTATAGTGATTTAAGCTCAGGACCTTGTAAAGTTGTTGAATGTTGATTCATTTCCAGTTTCTCCTGGGGTCAATATTCTTAAAACTTCCACAAACACTTAACCACAACCTCAACTCTCCATGATTGTCAGCACAGCAATGCTTTAGATGACATTCTGTTCCATAACACTATTAGTTCTCCAGTTCATCAATTTGTGGATCTTAATGAGGTGTTTAGTTTACAACTCCACTCGACTCATTTCACCTCAAAAAGATCTTATCCCAACTACTTAGAGACGGCTACATCAGTCCTTTTCCTCCATTGTGACCTATCAAGAACCATATTTTTTTGTTAAATTGCAAGCTAACCAATTCTTTTCTACAATAAAAAAGGGTGGCATAGTTCACAACGCTCCTGCCACCACGGGTCTGGGAAGGCGGAGCATCAGATGTACGCAGGACATCACTATTCCTCACCAATGCAATTTATAGATCTTCTATGTACATGGCCAAACTGCCTAATCCTTTCTAGTTCTAGTACACGTCCATCTTAACAGCGTTACTCATGCACACTTAGTTTTTGAGCGTGTTGTTTCTGGGGTATTTGGTTTACAGGCCCTCTTATTGTAACTGCAAACCTCTAGCTAAAAATTTGCACCTAGCCATACATCAGTAATTTATTCCAAAGTCTTGGTGTCACAAATTCTGCAGCCCTCGACACTAAGTTTCCTCGGATTACAGCTAAAGCATGCTAAACAACCTATAGTACAACCAGAAAAAGATGTGTGCAAATTTCACTGGTTGGAGAAACATCTTTATGTTTTTCTTTTATTGATTAGTAATGGGAACAAATCCTGATGCCTGCTCACTAGTTTACCCAAGTTTACCACTATGCCAATGAACTAGTTGGAGAACCATCTTCAAATTGCCTCACAAAGAGATGATGAGAAAATAAGGAGCAAAACTCTTCTCAGAAAGGATATAATCATAGGTCCTGGAAAGTTATGGTATACAACTTACTCATTGCAGACTACAACAAAATCGGATGATTTTTCTCAAAATAGAAATTATGTGAAAAAATTTTATTATCAACAAGCTTGGAGATATCATACCTTCCCATTCTTTAGGAAGGTGGAAATATGTCCTGTAGCAGCCAGTCGGATTGTCCTGAGGAACGTTTGGTGGATCAATTGGAAATGTATATCCAGCATTCCTATATATGGGCCGATCATATCCATGCATCTGCCAATTGGAAGGAACTGTTCCAAAGAGAATGAGCATTAGAAAATAGAGCAAATAATACAAATGAAAATGTCTTTTCCCCATCTCTTAGTGTTTTTTGACACTTATTAGAACCAATGTGTCCTTTGGATAAAATTACTCACATCACTTATAATGGCATTGTACTTACTGACTGAAAGAAAACACTTATCGTCGAAAGATCAAAATCCTTGACACACATCAAAGAGTTAACATTCCCTTAAAAGGAGACTGATGAGAGACTTCTAAGTTAGATGCATCATCATTTTAACTTCATGAAGCTATTAAAAGATTTCTCAATACTGCTTTAACTGTTAAAACCAAAAATCACATGTACCATCAGTTTCATGTTGTAGCCTTGAAAATATATAACACTGTTGGTTCCTGGATGAACACTAAATTCTTATAAGAAATTAAAAAAAGAACAGACATGAGAATTTTATGGCATGATTTCATCCAAAATTTATGTTATCTCAGTTTTCAGTTTCAACAGTTTGTAGTTACTCTCTTTTAGTTAAATCATCTTGGAAATTATACAAGGATCAGCACAAAAACATTTGCCTCTTATTTTTCTGATTTCGTTTGTCATATAACAAGAAGAATCATCTTGGCAAAGCTGGTGGTTTAAATCTTCAAAGTCAAAATGGTCAATTGCGACTTACATAGTGTTTGTATTAAATGTAAGCCACAAAAAGGTTTCGGGCATTGGTATTGCATGATTTATAGATATATGTCAATTGATATTCTAACCAGACTTGAAACCCAATCTGTTCAAAAGTTTTTTTATTTTTTTTGCTTTCTATCCATTGGGATAGAATGCACTATATGTAAAAGAACAACCAAGTATTCAACCGTCTATCATGGTAAAGACAAATTGAAGTTATTCACAAATTTTTTTTTAATTGCAGGACAAACAGTGAAAACAATTACATACTTACCTGGTATAGTTTCCCATGCAGAATCCTGGAATGAACTTTCGAAAAAATTCTGGGGAACACTGGTAGGACTGGGAGCCAGTAAAAATTTCCAATATCCACATAAAGACTTAACGAAAGGCAAGCCCTTGACCCAAAAAGCAGCACAATCAAGAGATCCAGAAACAGCATCATCATCCCAGACTGCTGCTTTAGATACCAGAACATCCACTTTGTTGCGTTCATACCAGTATCTAAGAGATCCTATCCATAAAACAGAATAAAAATTTGATTTGAAAGAGTTTCATCGGGTTAATTTCTAAATCAGGCGGTATTCAGAAGCATTTATCTATAAGAAATTAAAGGACACAAACACATAAAAGATCATCAAAGAAAGATGACAGCCTTTTTATTCTTCATCTATTTTGCTAAAGGTGAGGGATCCTTCATAGAAATCTGAATGGATCACCACATTATGTTCCTTAGTTTTTGACAAAATAATGTGTAAATACTCTGCAAACAGATAGTTTTCTTATATTTATCATCATAAGGCCAGTTGCTTAAGCATGTTGCATCCAGGCTGATGGTGGGAGCTTGACAATGATGAAGCACCCAAAAAACAACAGTAGACCAAAATTAATGACTACATTTCCCTGGATTAATCTAAGTTGAGACCTCAGATTAAGTCATGACCACATCCTTATCCAGAGGGAATAAAAAAGATGTTACTTCTAACAAACCGTTACATGCAAGGATACAAAAGCCTTTTTGTTCTTGTTTTTCAAGTTGGCATACAGTGTCAGGAAACATTTTCTCCTTTTTCTGGTTGGTGTGGAGTATATGCAAATGTGTGGGTGTCTCTTGTGTTCTTGTTTGGGGATTGGTGCATGAGCTCAATCCCATAGGTTTGGTATCCATAACTGACATCTCAAATTTTCAAACAATAACAAATAAAATTAAATGCTCCAAACAAACACACAGTTTTGTCCATGAAAGTTACACATTGATGTCTGGTTGGGCAACCCCAGTATGAGTCAACAACACTACAAAGTCATTGAGTCAAAGTATCCGAATCAAAATCAATTTGGCAATTGGATTTTATATACTAGTTTGGGAGGTGTTACTTTGCCATGTGGAACAAGCATAACATATCTAATGTCACTTCCTTTAATTTATCTTTCTGCTTCTTACCTTACTTTCCTCAACCACTTGGATAAACTCACACAAACTTGATTTACCTTCCTTGATGTCATCCCTTTAATATATTTTAGATACCCATTATTTTGGGCAGAATTTCCGACATTAGTGTTTGTATTCAATTGCCCGATGTAAAAGGTATAATAGAGTATAATAGCTGCAAATAACTGGCTGCAATATGACTCATTCCACTTTGTGGAAAATGAGCACAGTACGGCATATGTTCTAAAATGAGGTATGCTAAGGGTAGGCTAATATACATTCTATAGGTTAAAGGTGTGTGCCTATGTTTCCAGTATAATAGAGTTTTTCTTAGAAAGATAGATGACTGGCGAGATGTGAAATAACTATCATGGCCCGGTCTTCAGTTAAATATGAAAATTTGGACTTGTCAATGTTAAAAGTTTCAGATCCCAAAATATAGTTCTCCATTATGTTAGTGTGCCATATTTTGAAACGTTCATTACAATTGTAATTCTTTACGGTATTGGCACTTTCTGGTAAACGTAGGTTGAATTATCAGTAATCAGAAAACTCGTATGATTATTGATTAACTAGGATGAAAATTGGCATCCTACCATTATCAAGAAGATTTAAAGGAAAGGGAAAGATCACTCCTCTTTCAGCCAACAGAGTTGAATAGGAATAAGAATCCCCCCACCGAGAGAGAGAGAGAGAAGAAAATTGAAACTTCATGTGTCAATGATCAAAATTCGTTTTGTTTCCACCAAAACGATTGAAATGTTTCAGTTTCAAAAAAAAAAATTTGTGATGGAAGATTGAAATATCTATGTTTTGGCCAATTCGGAGTCAAAATTCCAAATTTAGTCCGCTGCCTGTCATTTTCCTTCAGTTTCGCAACGTTTCCATTTCTTGAGTCAACCGAAACTATGCACCTGAACAAAATTTTAATCCATGGATCTCTAAGGACACTATCATATCCCCAAACAAAGAAATGAAAAATGATTCTCCCATCAAAACATTTTTATTATGTTGGAAATAGGCCTACCTTAAGAATTTTGTGACCCACTATGAGAAATCATTCATTAAAAAAGATACCTCAATTTATTTGATTGCACGTAACAGCAAGGGCAGTGGCAATCTGGTCTCACCTTCAACTGTATCATGGCAGTGCAGTGAAACATGAGCATCTCTCTTCCTCCACTTGATAAATGATGGATCTTCCCACACCCTACGACCACTGTTTGAGGGGATAACCAGTTGACCAGCCAAAGATGCCATCGCCAAATTAAAGTTTGCAACTGCACTACAATAGAGCAACACTTAGCCAGGAAACAGAATGAAAGACTATTGGGATATCCCAATAGCAATACATAAACAATGTACTGCAAATCAAGATGGTTTGCCTATAAAAAGAAAAGTTGGTTAATGCCAACTTTTGCAGTTGATACGTTTCTTTGCGAGTTGGAGAAGGTGCAGAGCCAGAAGACCATCACAACGGCTATTGGAAACGGACCTGCTTTGCCTTGTATATAGAAATAGAAGAATAGAAGATCATTGGAAGAGATTGGTATTCCTGTTCCTAAGCTGAAGGATGTAACCTGCAGTAGTTTGTCCTTCTGGCTACTTTAGATGTCTCTGTTCCTTTGCCATTTTTTTAGGAGCTTCATCTTTTGGACCTTGCGAGGGCATCTTGTATGGAATTTTTTGTGGGTTCTCTAAAAAACTGAATGTAAATGGACTGCAACCCAGTCTTCAATGCTCTCTAATGGTATTTCATTTACCAGAAAAGAATGAGAGAAAGGAGAGTATAGCCATCATTTTTGAATAGTCATTATTAGGCTAATAAACAAACAAACAAACATGGATAACGAGAAATTCAAATCGCCCGTCTTGGCTCTAATATCATGGCAGAGATATCTAACCCAAAACCAACAGGAAACAAGTGGAGAGACCCCTCAACAATATAAACCGACATGGATGACCAAAATCTTTTGATGCAGGAAACAACTTATAATTAGGGGGGACATAATTGCTACGATTAGATCATTACAGAAAATGTTGGGTCAAATGTTCCTTTGTTGTCCTGCCATCCTTATAATTAGGGGAGACATAATTGCTAGGTAGCTGTGGGCAGGCTATGGATGTTAGAGTAGAGAATACATATAAGCACACTGATTTTAACCAGACCACTTCACACCTAGATCTTCCTTTAGGTGGTAATCCTCTGAATCTCAAACTCTGAACCACGCCGTGCAAAAAGTTTTATCTATAAATTTTTGGTTAAGACACTAAAGATTGCTAAACTCTGCTTCTTAACATATCCCTCAATCATCAATGACTATCTTTTGCTAGTCACTTCTTCTTAATGCTTTATTAATAAAGAGTTATCTTTTTTCACAGTAATTCTAGCTTGACTCTTTTTTCTTAATGAATAGCAGAATATCATTTCAAATCAAAGATCATCCAAGAAGAAGACCATGTTAATCATAATATGCTCCATCTTACACCATCCACCACCATATTGAAAAAACCCAACAAAAAAAAAACAGGAGCAGTTCACACCACACCTATATATATTTGTATTGTGAACAATACAAATATAGCAAACTATATAAATGCATTGCAATTAAGTGAATTCTTATGGAAGGAGAGCGAGACAGAGTGCATACCCGGAGAAGCTTAGACGGCTTTGAAGAAGTTCTTGACCAAAAATTTACATGTGTTAGGTTGTTAACTAGATTTGGAATAAATGTTGCCAAGTTAATCTTTCCACATACCTCGAACTTAGGTATTAGATTGGCTTTCTCTGCAGTGAAATTTTCTCCGGTTTTCACCAATATCTTCTCACCGATTGCCAACATCAAGGTGGTGGGCCACCACCAACTGTTATGTCGTTACAGAAATTATCCTATGCCTCTCACTGGATTTTACGACTTTTTTTAATTAAAATTTATCAGAGTTAAAATTTGATTTTATAATTTTTATCTGATTTTATAAAACTTTTAATCTTAGGAGAAATTATTGCTAGGTGTTCTTTGTTAATAGTCCTATTTGAGTATTATTTTTATCCTATATTTAATTTTATGTTCTATTCGTTTATACATAATTAATTCGTATTAAATAATACAATCTTATTGTTTAGGGTTAATCAAAAATTGACCTCGAAAAATCTTTCAAATTTTTATATCCTTAAAAATTAAAAATTTTAATTTGTACCTAAAAAAATATGAATTTATATCAAAGAGCACTTGAAGCTAGCAACCTTCAGTTTATCGTCTAAAATTAATTGGATCAGTTACACTTAAACCCCCTCAAATTTGTCATTTAATTATTTAAACCCCTTCACATTTAGCATATTACTCATGTTGACGTTTGTGCACATGTAACATATAACTTCTTGTCGTTGATATATATTAATATAACCAATAAAAATATAATTTTTATACTACTCTTTATTTGTGTGGGCCCGTTATACTCTTAAGTTCAAAATCAAGCTTATTATTTAAATGTCCAATATAATGCAAGTATTTATATAATGTTGTTTATATCTAATGTAATACATCACTTAAACAAAATTATTTGGATGCCCACTGGGGAACATTTTTAGTCATATTTGGATTCTCAAGGGGATGTAGGTGTAATATTTTAAATATGAGTGGGTCTAAGTGATTAAATGACAAGCATGAGGGGGTCTAAGTATAATTTATCCATTTAGTTTTAAACGACAAACTGACATTAATTTCAAGTGCGCATTGATACATATTTCTAACTTTAAAGGTGTAAATTACGATTTTTGATTTGAGAGTGCAAATTTATATTCGAATGATTTTTTGAGATACAATTTGCAATTAGAGGTGCAACTCGGACGGGTTGTGCGGGTTGGACAGCCAACTCTAGCCCAACACTACGTATATAATCTTCAACTCTAACCCTACCTCAGGTTGTGGGACACAACCCGAGAACCGCCCCGAGTTTAATTCAGGCGAGTTCAAGTTGAATTCGGGTTAATGATTTTGTACTACATTATGAGTTTGAATTCGGGTTGAGCCCAAAACAGACTTGTTGTTCTAAACCTAATACATATATTACATAATATTCACTTAAATTAACAAACAACAACTTCGATCAAGTTTTTAACATAAAAATCATAATATTAAGAATTCAATATTTGAGATAATGTAACCGTAACTATACAGAACACAAATACACACAACTATAATTTTTGTACAAACATAAAGTTCATTACTTAAATAGTGAGTGAGGGAGGCGCACAATGAAAACTTCAGAAACAAATTAACCCTAGATTTAAGAATATATTTATATAGTTATGAATATTCGGGTTCAACCGGTTAACCCGAGGGGTCAACTCGAGACCCATCCAAATTAAATTCGGGTTAAAATTTTTGACTCAAATTTAACCTCAGTATTAAAAACCCTATCCCAAGCCCTAAATTTTTCGGGTTGAGCTCGGGTTAACCCATCCAAGTTGCACCCCAATTTGCGATTAACACTTTCTTTTACTGTACAAGAATTATAATAATATATTTTAATGAGGTATTCTTAAAAAGGGGCCCAATTGAATTAATTATATTTTATCTATTGTGTTTTGAAAACTCATCCTAGTCATCGTTTTTATCCTTATTTGACTTTTGTTAGGATAACCAAGCGGAAACAAAAAAAAGAAAGAACCTTACCAACAAAACACTAGGCTATCCAACATGTGTGGCATATCGTGGGGCCTCAATAATTGCCTACTCAAGGACTAAACGATATAACAAGTTAAACAAAAAGGCTTCGTTACTTGCCGACCCAAGTTTTGTTCTATCATAAACATCCTTGTTGCATAATTTAAAATTGTATTTTGTTATTATCACACAATTTAAATTTATTGTAATATATATATATATATATATATATATATATATATATATAAAT